AACGTATACAACATCAACCTCTTCACAGATTAAGCAACTGTGGCATTAAGTACAGCCCATTAAGCATGGACACATTGATACAGAGGTTAAATGGAGAAGAGCAAAGCAGAACAGAGATGTAAAAACATACCCAACCTCAAACAGAGAATACAATCCACAACAAGAAGCCAACCCAGGGGTTTTTAGCCTTCCATACATCAAACACACTCACGCCTGGCGTAACCAAATCACGCCCGACCTAACATCCAACCTGAGAGTTCTAAGCTCTTCCACGCCTAGCGCGCTCAACCTACGCCTGGCGTAATCCCAGTCAGAGAGTTCCAAAACTCTCATTCAAACCAACAAATCCAGCCACATGAAAACACAAAACACAATGCATAGGCTTCATACAGCTAAAAAATAAACTTAAACCTCACATGCACCCATCTGATGCATCAAAATAACCAAAAACCCCATTTTCCCCAAAAACCCGAAAAATGAGCGAATTCTCCGATCTAGCCATGGATCCTCAACTTTCATGCATCAATTGAGTCATTAAACTCACATGCAACTAAAAGACAAACATTTTAGCTTCCCTTACCTGAAAATTGGTTCAAAATGGCCAAGAACTGAGGAGAAGTAGAATTTCCTTCCAAAGCTCAACCTTGAACTTTAGTCCACCCAAAGCAAGCTTTCTGGTCTGAATTTCAAGAAAAGACAGAAGACATTAGTGATCTAGAGGAGAAAAAGAATCATATTGAGAAATTTGGGAGAGAAAGGAGCTCATAGACGTAGATTCCTTCTCTCTAAAACTTCTCTCTAAAAAATTTCACTTTCTCCTCAACCACACAACCCCTATTTATAGAAGTTCAGGAGTGGCCAGAACGACCCGTTTCGAATCCGGAATGGCCTGTTTTGCACTCTTTCAGCATGTGCAAAAATCCCATGCAGAACGGTCCATTCTGAAACCAGAACAACCCGTTCTAGGACTCATCCAGAACGGCCTGTTCTCAACTACGATTTACAGGTCAATTTAATAGTTTGGAACAACTCGTTCTGGGCTACTAAATCACCCATATCGGGCCTTTGGGCCTTCTGAAATAACTTACTACGTTACAAACAAAGTGGGGTCCAATCGCTTTTTGGTAACTTTTTACTCCACAAATATCCTCACAGCACTTAAGAAATACAAGAGATGGAGAAGGAAAGTGATTTCTAAGCTAAAACTACAAAAAATGGGTCAAAGATGTTAATTTTTCGGTTCAACCACAATCTCCTTGCACAAAACACGAGACACCTATTTATAGGTGTCAAAACCAATTGGAAAAACTGTTTTGGTCGTTAAAACAGGTCATTTTGGGTTGGTTTGTTATGAACAAAATTTGAATTCAGAACGAGACATTTTAAAATCAGAAAGGTCCATTCCAAACTATCATGTTGTTCATAACAACCTAGGTCAAAATGACTCGTTCTAGATTGGGAATGACCCGTTTTGACCTATGGTTTTCAGGCCATTTTAGGGGTTTAGAATGACCCGTTCTGGATTGTGAACGACTCGTTCCGAGCTCCTAATTTGTCCTTTTTACTTTTTGGGCCTTTTAATGTTATTCGGGTCCATTCTGATGTCATGTTGGGCCTTCAAAGGCATATTTCCTTATTTTAGTAATCCTTTATCTTGTTTTGGTATCCCGGAAAAAATTGGGTGTTTACAATGCGGTTTAGACACTTCGTACTTCTATATTTTATTTAATAAAAGTGTTTAAAAATTATTGTTTATTAGATCAATTGATATCGTGCTATTTTCAAGCCTTAAGGTATGAGGTTTAAATCTTGTATTTGGAAGGATAATTAATTTTTAATATTATTTTTTATTATTTAAAATTTAAAAGTAAAATAATCTAAAAAAATATGTATACTAAATCAGGCTATTACTTTTATATATATCATTAATGTAGATAATAGATTATATTAACTTATGAATCAATTCCTATATTAAATGCAAACAACTATTTAAGGTGAGAGTGGTTTTAGGCATAATGAACATTTATAAGAATTTTTTTTTAACTTTTTATCTAATTTAATTTTTATTTATCATATTTATTGATGAATTAAATCTTATATTTTAAAACATGAAAGATTATAAATTTTTAGGATTTATTCTTCAAAATGAGCATTTGTAGAGTTTTTATTTTCTTCTTCACTTTTAATCTGATTTAATGTTTTTAATTATCATATTTATTTATGAATTAATTTTTAATATTTTTAAAATATATTATAAATAATTAAAAATAATATTTTGTCACAATATAACTTATATATCTTCAATCTAAAATATAATTTAAGTGTTTAAAAATATTTATTTATATAATTTTACAAATAATTTATATATTCAAATATTATTTATTTGTATAGATAATTTATTAGAAATTTAGCTATATATAATAAAAATTTAGCTAGTGAAATGCACTAAGTAAATGCTAATATTAAATAAATAAATTATTTTA